TCCCCTCCTTGGGTTTCCAAGGCGGTATCTCTACAGAAGTAGATTACCCAACCTTCCTTCCCAGGAGTGGCTGGTGGGTTTGAACCGCCAGCCTTCTGGTTAGCAGTAAAGTGCCTTAGGCACTATGCAACAGCGTTGAATATGAAGAAGTTTTAGATATATTAAGGCTCTCTGAATTAACCTAACAATTTCTTTTTTCTTTTTTACTTATTTATCACCCACATAACTATCAGCCACTGGGTAACAGAACGTTCTCACTCAATATATTATCTGCACAATAGATTATCATCTATACAGTATACATATCAGTACATGTTGATTGATTTAGTGCTAATACTGGACATTAAAATTAGATTTTTTTTTCATTTACTTTCAGTAAGACTATCTTTGAATCCCAGATCAATAATTTATTTGATGTGTGATTTTAAACAAGTAATTCATTCACACTATGTCAAGATTTCTCATTATAAAGTGTTATAAAGGTAGAAAATGAGCTAGTAGTATTGTTGAGAGATTTAGAATAGATAATTCAGATTAAAGGGGTCAATCAATGAAATGGCTATAATTAATAAACAATACATATCAGCTGCTATTATCACTGTAAGGTTATCATCATTAACATAATCAGTATAAATGAGATTACATTCATAATGAATTATTGACTAATTTCTTATCTATTCCACATAGGGCTAATATAAACTCTTTTCATGTTCCTCAAATTATCTTCAACATTTCAGGCATGTTGCCTTATGTAAATAGATTTATATCTGATATCACTTAAAATTTTGTGGTCCACAATCCATAAGCCCATAAATTCTCTCACAAATATTGATTACTAAATATATTTGCAGATATTGCACCTCATTTTAAAAGTAGTATAGTAAATCTGGGTTTATGATTATTCAATAAAACAATAAACCTGGGTTTTTCAGTGTTCAATGAAGCAGTTTACTTCATGGACAAAACAGTAAGTTTTCAACCTTAGAAATGTGCAGCTTTTCCGATTCAACTTCAGAGATGACAATAACCAGATAATTAAAGCCAAAATATTTGGTCATAAATTTTTGTAACAGAAAGTAGGTATTTTTTTATTTGAACAAATAAATTCAATGTATTACTTGATGATGGTTGAAAGTGAGGACCTTATTAACAAGTAATCTCTGAGATGACACTTTTTCACCCGATGATTTTCTCATATCCTTGCCCCAAAAAATTAATATATAGTGGTTGTAAAATAATTTTCTACCTCCATAAATCATCTTACATATAATGTCAGCTCCAGAGATGGGTAATTTATTGCCTCCATGACATTGTCAAAGACCACTGTGGTCACAAAATGTCAGTTACATGCATCACATGTAAACACTGTCCAGAAGCAGTTGTCTATTTCTTAAATTTCTTTTCAGAAGGAAGGAAATCTGTTGAAGAATTCTAATACTGTAGTCATCATTCCATAGGCTCAAATGACCCTTTTAACCAATCACTGACAAAGGAATAATTATGTTTGTTTTAGGTAAAATATGACCCACTCTCTAGGGGGGATTTGGTACAGAATTACTGATTTCCATGTCCATTTTTTTAAATGCATTTTATTAAAATATAATTTATGTACAGTGAAATACAAAAAACTAAAGTGACATAGATCAATGCATTTTTTTTTCATTGTTCCCTCCCCTCCACTGCTGGGCAACCAGCAAAGACAGTTTCCCTCCATATATAAACCTTTCCTTGACCCTCCAAAACAACGAACTAACACTATGTTTATCCTTCTGTGTTTCACTTATGTCACTCAGCATAATGTTCTCCAAGTTTATCCATATTACGTGGTGTTTTGCAGACTCTACATTAGTCTTTAGTGCTGCATAGCATTCCATTACGAGTATGTACCATAGTTTGGTCATTCACTCTTCCACTATAAATCTTAGAGATAAGTCCCATGTCAGATATGTAATTATCAGTAAATATAAATTTGTTGCTGTCATTTTTGTTATGTGCTTCTTCGTGATATCGATTTCTTTGTTCCATATAATTTTCCATGCTGAACTATTTTTGTTTATGACTCGTGTTGTCACTTCCTTCATTGCTTTTGTTTTAGTATTTGCTGATTATTTATGCTGGTCCTCTTTTTTGATGTGAAGGTTTGTCATTTTTCTTTGAGGTTACACTGTGATTTATAGTTTTCTTCCCAAGTTTAGAACAGTCCGTTCTATCTTGTAGTTGTCTTGACCTCACTATCATCTAGAAGTTCTGTAACAACACAGTTTTTTCCCTCTTTTTGGTTTGTAGTTGTCCTTATTTGTCAATTGATGTTTCTGGTTCCCTGTTTACAATCTTGTAGGCTTATTTACTTTGGACATTTCCATAGCTGGGTTGGTTTCTGGGTTGTATCATGTGTTTTAATGGTCAGTTGTCGTCTGTCGTTGCTTCTCTGTCCAAAGGGCTCCCTATTTAGCATCTCTTGTAAGTTGGTCTGGTTTTAACAAATTCCCTTAATTTCTGCTTATCTGGAAATGTCCTAATTTCACCATCATATTTGAGGGACAATTTTGCTGGGTACATTGGTTGGAAATTTTTCTCTTTCAGGATTTTATATATACCACCCCATTGTCTTCTCACCTGCATGGTTTCTGCTGAGAAATCTGAACTTAGTCTTACTGGTTGCCCCTTTTAAGTAACTTTTTGCTTTTCCCATGCTGCTCTCATGATTTTTGCTTTGTCTTTGGTTTTGGTAAGTTTGATGATGATCTGTCTGAGTGATTTTCTTTTGGGGTCTATCCTGTTTGGGGTTCATTGGACTTCCTGAATGGATATATTCTCATCTTTCATCATACTAGGAAAATTCTCTTCCCATGAATCTTTGACGATTTTCTCTGTGCTTTTATTTGTCTCTTCCTGTTCTGGAATTCCAGTTACACATAGGTTATTTCTTTTGATGGTATCTCACATGAACCTTAGGCTTTCTTCATTTTGTTTTGATCCTTTTTTCTGATTTATCCCTTTCCAAAGAAGTGTTCAGGTATTTGCCTTCAATCTGCCTAATTCTGTCTTCCATTGATTCAGTTCTGCTCCATTGCTTATTCAATGTCTTATCTATTTCTGAAAATTTAGTATTAATCTTCTGGATTGCTGTGTGTAGATTTTGTATCATTTCTAAATTTTCGTTTATTTTGTCATTGTGTTCTTGTATTGTATTTTGAAATTGTTCTAGGGTTTTCTCTGTGTTTTCCTTGATCTGTCTCTCAATTTGTTGAAGATACCTAAATATAAATCTTTTGAATTCCTTATCAAGGAGTTCCAATGCTGCATCTTCCTCAGGGATGTGTTTTGGGTCTATATCCTGGTCCCTTGTTTCTCCTGCTTTGTCTTACTTCTTTGTGTGAACTGTGATGCTCTGTTGTCTCCGAGGCATTGTGACGTTTTTGTGTTTATATTTAATCGGTGATTGTATGTTGGAGTGACTTGCCCACAATTTTTGTTTTCTTTGTAATCTACACAAGCAAGGCACTGTGCTCTTCTATTTGCTAGTTGACAGCACTTATACACTCACACCCATCTCCTTTCCTGTTGTCAGCCTCTGGTATATCCCTGCTGACCTTGGCAAACAGAGCCTATTCTTAGGTCCCTGGAATCTGAATGAGAATGCTATCACTTTAAAATCCAAAATGGTTGCCACTCGTAAAGATTCAAAATGGTTGCACTGTCAGTCACTTTAAATGTCCAAAATGGCAGCCTCTTTTAAACATTCAAAATGGCTGCACCCTCAGTCACTTTTAATATCCAAAATGGCTGCCATGTGTAAACAATCAAAATGGCTGTGCCCTCCAGACAGCAGAAAGTCAACAGCTCAGGTTGTCTCTCTCCTTGATGTTTCCCTTCCTATTCATTCCTTGATGTTTCCCTTCCTACTCATTGGCTACTAGTGCAGTCATCCCTGCAGCCCTTGGTGACCAGGGTTGATTTTTAGGTCAGTTCTCAGGTCCCAACACCCCTTGGAAATATTCAGGCTGTTGGTCCCATCAGAATAGCTGACAGTCCACAGCTCTGACCATCTCTGTACTCACTGTTTTCGTTTAGGTTTTTCCACTAGTTGGTGCCTAATCCACTTCTGTATAGTTCCTTTCAAAGCTCAGGGCTACAGGATTTTCTTCTGTATCTCTGTCAAATGGTTTTTCTTTTCTTTGTTGAAGAGGGTCTGTGTTGCTTGTCTGCCTATTCCTCCATCTTACTGGAAGTTGATATCTAGGTCCATTTAGCCTTCCATAGAGATACCACTTCAGAAAACCAAGGAGAGGTTGCTATGAGTCAGAATCAACTCAACAGCAGTGAGTTTGGTTTTTGGTTTATGTCCATTTAGAAGGGAGGACATAAATAAACAAAAATGAAATTGTACTACGAGCTGGAACCAGGGTGGGAAGAATCAACATGGTAGCTGAAGATCTTGAAGACTTTATTTCTCAGTGTTCCTTTTCTGTCATAAGTAATGCACAACCTGCCCTACTATAATATACCAAGTTCATTCTCAAGAGTATTTCAGAGGATTTTGACAATGCAAAAAAGAACCATGAAAAAATAATTTTCTCTGTTCTTCTTTTCTCTCCTTTGAAACATGTATTGCAACTACCTGCAGAATTCATTCATCTGCTCTATCTGGAAAAGTCAAGAACTTAATTACAATTATAATAATTATAATAATAAAAAGATTGCTTTGTCACTGCAGCCTTAACAAGGTTAAGCCTTAACACTTATGTATTCTTGGAATTCCAGCAAGCTAAGAAAGCAGGGTAATAACCACAGCATATATATTCCAGGTAATGGGCCACAAGAGATGTTTTTACTTAAAGAATACTAAAGCACCAAATTTTATTATTTCAAGCTACATTAATAATTAAAAAAAAAAAAAAATGTTACATTAAATTAGAAAACCTAAGAGATAGTAAAGTGCCTCAATTGGGAAGGGATCCCTCAAGCATGGAGTTTCCAGTTTCTGGACTTCTCCCTGATCATGTTTGGTCAGTGCAAAAGAATGGCCTGAGTGGGTAACTGAAGGAGCAAGCCGGGTACCTCCATATGAGGGAACTTTTGGCAACATTAACAAAACTCACACTTTGTTTGTCAAAATCAACAAAGACACCAACCCGCCCCACAGGTTTCTCTACACAATGAAAAATTATTGGAGAGGTAGTCAAAGGATTGTAACGACTACCCTCCTTCAAGCATAAAAGAAGAAATATGTCCTGAGACTTGATCACTGAATAGTTCTTTCTTATCCAAGAATCCTTGCTACATAGCCCTACAGCCCAATCCCAAGAGTAGTCCACTTCTATTTCCCAGTAATGTTTTCCAGAGGTGAAAGCCTGGGTTCCCCATGCAACCAAGTAGTTAGATCTTCCATGTCTAAACTTCCGTCTTTTCACAGCATCAAACAGCATGATATTCTGATTGATCATTTCATAATTGAAGGAAACTTCCACTGTAGAAAAAAGAGAATATTCTAGTCAGAAGAACGTGATCTAGTCAAAATCAGTTTGTAATTTCCTATGGGATGAGAGGGTCACTAGAAAAACAAGCCAACTACAAGGGAAATTTGAGCTGTAATTGTCTAACTGAAGGGTATCAGTGGATGTGCAGAAGAAACAAGTACCTACTGAATGCCAGTGAAAACAGTTCCTAAGCTATCAGAGAATGTACAGGGGAGGGAGGGTATGCTATCTTGTGGCTCATTGCTTTTCATAGTACTTTAAAAACCTGTTTTTTTTTAAAGTACTTTAAAAACCTGGGTTTTTTTTAAATACTTTAAAAAGCCTGTTCATTGATGCCAATCCATAGCAATGTGGCTTACCCCCACTGCCCCTTCTCAGGACAAAAAAAAAAAGTTAGACCTAAATCAATGGTGGTAGCTTACCAGGTATATTATAATGTTAGATAAGCAAGCAAATTTAAATTTAAGAAAAAAAATCAGAGTATGCTTTCTTAGAAGGGGCCTGCTACATTTTCTGACTTTAAACTTGGTTCCATCTTAAGCCTAGTCTTTTTCTGCCTGCCAGACTACCTTTCTGTCTTGTCCACCACAGAACTCTGGGTACTACCTCAATCACCAGCTTGCTTTATTGTTGCTGATAAATTCTGTTTTTCTGCATATCTCTTCTGTATGTTTAATTATGCATTTTTCTAATCATATTAAAATGAACATTATTACAAATCCAGTTATACTAAGAAATTTTCATGGAAAACAATAAATAACTACACTTAATTTGAAATTTGAATGTTATGAACTAATATTTAGTTCAGAATTATGCATTGAACAACTGACATTGTATCTGAGAATGGTTCTAGATCTAAAGGAGTACTTTTTCTGATTGTTTCCATTTTTTCACTTTCTAAGTAATTTATTACAGGTCAACTCACATTTATCCTTTACTGGCCTTTCATTTAGATATTTTTCATATTATTATAGGACAAATATAACTATAAATATTTCACAGGCTACTCTGATCTGTTCTCCTAAATCAATGATTAATAAAGAAGGAAAGATTGCTAATAGAAAACCATTATTGAGGACACTGTATGCGGGTCCCACTACTGGGTTAACACTCACCTCGGAATTGGTTGAACCTGTCAATCAGTCCAGTGATGGGCCTTGCACTGAGTGCTAGGTTCACAGGCTGGGGCATGTGCAGTTGCATGGACTCACTCCTGTGAGAGGAAAGATTCAATTAATCTCTCAGGTACCAAAGGGGTCATCACAGTGTGAAAAAAGACATCAGTATTAACTGAAAATGTTTCATCATAACTCATTTCTGATATGTGGTGTACCTCCATTATCCTGGGATAAGATTGTGGAATTCTTAGAGAATCTTTTTGTCTTCTCTGCCAGCTTCCATCTCCTGTCTCTCAGATATACTTGTCTCTCTCACCTACCACCTGGCACAAACTAGTCCATCATCTGAATAAGCTTATATGTTTGAAATCTAAAATCATAGGTAGCTGTCTTGTAGCCACTTATGGACTACAATACATAACTCCCTGAGTCACAGGAAAGAAGCAAGGCTAATTTGTGACAAAGAGAATAAAAAATCATACTGAGTGAAACCTACATAAGATGAACAAGTAGAAAATATTATCTCTATAGTGGGTAAGGTATTTGGGTGCTAACCAGAAGGTTAGTGATTCAAACTCATCAGCTGCTCTGTGGGAGGAAGATGAGGCAATCTACTTCTGTAAAGATGTACAGCATTGGAAAAGCAATGGGGGGGTCACTATGGGTCAGAAATGACGTGATGACAGTGGGTTTGGTTTTGAGTTTGGTGGTGGAAATTATGTTCTCACTTTGTTAGAAACACTGTGATCTTTCTTTCATAGTCCTTATGATGCTTTAGTTTGCATTGAAGGCCAAACTTACCTTGTCAATAAGTCTTCCAAATCCTGTAAAGAGAACAAGAAGCAAAGTTTAGATTTCTTCACAAAGTCCTGATTCTGTCCATCCAGTCTTTCGGTTTGGGCAAGTTCAGAAATGTATCAACCACTCAGTGCCACAATTTTTATAAAATCATTTTTCTTTTCTTCTTTAAGGATAATCCCAGTAGAAAGCATGGATAGAATCTGAATTCTTGATGAATTCAGAAACTTGATTGTGAATTAATAAAGAGAAGGACATAAGTTCAGTCTGCATTAATGCAACCATCAGCTATCTGCAAAGTGGTCTTTCCCAGGGTTTTTCTGAAAAGGGTAATGTGCCCCAGAAAAAGGCAATTCAAATCTAGGGCTTTAAAACAGAAGCAGGAAGTAAAAGTTAGCTCTTCCCAAACTTAACCATTTTGCCCCACTGGAGACAAAAATGGAATGCTCATGAGTAAGTTGCAACTTTCTGGATTGTAGAGAAGCAAGGTAGAGAAGACAACTTTTAGAAGGGAGTATTCCCCAGGAAATCTACTCTCTTGATTCCATAAAGCTTTGTGGTTCATGGCTAGGATAGGATTTATAGTTCATATCTATTCTCAATTGGGAAATGACTCCCATCATAGAAGCAGAAAATTAAGAATTATGTTTTTGGTACCAAATAAATAATGGAAGTCCAAGATATGTAGTTTGCTGCCATAAATTATTTCCACTCACATCTTTAATTCTTACCTGAAGTAGTTCCACATCTGGTTTATGGCACATATTTATCAGCTCTTCATACATTTCTCTTAGATGCTTCCCCTTTTGAACCATTGTGGCTTCACTTTTCTTGAGTTGTTGGAAAATACTTTTGCCTTCACTTTCCAGTCCCTCTAAATGTTGCTTTTCTTCCTCACAGAGAGCTGGGTGCAACTTCTGATACTCAGAACTGATTATGTATGTCCACAGGAACACAAAATTCTGTAAGGACATAGATTTCTTAGCTCATATATTCAGACAAACATTATCCTCCTCCATTTAAACCTCATCTATTTCTCTTTGACTCATATCCTCTACCAATCTCAACTACATACACCTAAATTCATGTCCTTTCACACATTCGAAACCTCAGTCTTCCCTGTGTCATTCCTTCATTTATTTTCCATTCATGAGCCAAAACCATTCTCCTTTCAAAATACTTTTATTTACTTCATAAGTTCCTGAAATATCTGGAGAAATGCCTCTCATAGTTAATTTATTTAATATATATTCTCTAAAATGTGAAAGACTACATGCAAACTATTGAGATTAAAAAAAAAAAAAAAAACTCACTGCCATAGAGCCAGATCCTACTCATAGTGGCCCCTCCTTGTGTTTCTGAGGTGGTATCACCGTCGAAGTAGATTGCCCAATCTTCTTTCCAAGGAGTGGCTGGTGGGTTTGAACAGCCAGACTTCTGGTTAGCAGTCAAATGCCTTAGGCACTACGCCACCAGAGCTCCTACTAAGACTATGATTGACTATTAGTATCAGCTATGATTGGCCATTATTATTAGCTGCCTTTGCATCATCTCCAACTCATGGAGAGCCCATGTGAATCAGAGTAGAATCGCGCACTTCCAGGTTTTCAATGGCCTTTTTTTCAGCAGTAGATCCAAAAATCCAAACCAAACTCACTACCATCGAGTTAGATCTGACTCATAGCGACCCCTCCTTGGGTTTCTGAGGCAGTATTAACTACCAAAGTAGTTACACAATCTTCCTTCTGAGGAGTGGCTGGTGGGTTTGAACTGCCAGCCTTCTGGTTAGCAGTCAAGTGCCTTAGGCACTATGCCACCAGAGCTCCTAGAAGTAGATCACCAAGGGGTATTCTGAGGTGCCTCTGGCTGAACTTAAATCTCCTGACTTTCAGCTGGAAATGCAGATCTAACACATATGGAGTCTTCATGAATCAGAGACATCAACTGGTTTATTAAATCATAACATGTGATAGTCTTATTATCTTCCGTTAGTTTTTGTCATATCTTCCTACGCCACAGGCTGACCATTCATTTTTACACAAATGTTGCCTATTACTCAAACCGGACCTCAAACTGATTTCTATCCTCTAACCCTTGTTTCTGCCCTTCTCATTCTATCACTTTACTTTCCATTTCCTATCTAATGCCATAGGCTTCTAGATTGTCCTGTCAATTTTAAGGAAATTAATTTTCATTCCATTTGCATACCCTTTCCCAATGTTTATCTATTCATTCCTTTCCACTCATTTTCTTTGCCCCCTTTTCTCAGCTTTTCAACATGTTCTATTCACTCCTACTTGGCCCAATCTCATTCTGTAGCACATGTGTAATCCATTTCACTATGAAAGGCACACTTCTTAAATTGCTGTTCACACCCACCTTTTCTCCCATCAGCATTGTTGTATGTAACATTATAAAATGCCTTCCATTTTATATCTTTAATTTCCAGAATTCATCTCATAAAGAAATCTCTGCCTAAAAGACCCATGGATATTTTAGCACATTTCCTTCAGAATTCAGACTGATTTGAACCTTATCTAGGAAACTTCTTGAACTCTTGAACAATCTTTAGTGAATTTCTTTAAATCCCTCCATGTACCTCCATTACAATACTTGTCACATGTTGTCCTAGTGCCAACATTTGTGTGTGTATGTGTTGCTGATACGTGAGGGTTACAAATCTTAACGAACTACCTTACATAGTGTAGACTATTTTTCCTATTGATAAATCACTCACAGAATCTCGTGGCACACCATAAGTTCAGCTCAAGTTCTTACTGGACAAATCTCCAGCAAGTATGTCACAACATGGTTCTGCAGGAAACAGACTCATACTTACACTCCACACTACGGGTCATTAGGCTCTCCATATTCAGATTTTCCTGATTTTCTTGGATCTTTTCCCACAATGATTTAATTTGCTTTAACAGTTTCTCCTGCAAAGGAATCATGAATAGGAGTACCAGAGACAACAGATATTATAGATTTCATGCTATAAAGAGACAGATGTCAGACTGATGTACTTTAGGGGAAGTGAAGGATAATAGTGTTTCCCTTTTTACCCTCTATAATTACCAAGTCTGGTAAATTTCAGGCAGTGGGACAAAGTTTAGTGCGATTATTTGACTAAGGATTTTATGTAACATGGCTAATTTTAAGATAAACATTTTGCCACATACATAATTCGGATCTACTGATGCTGTTGTTATTGTGTGCCTAGTGGATTTGACTCAGGCTCTCTAAAGGAAAGAACAGAACTGCCACGTAAGTAATCATCATGGAAGCAGATCACCAGCTCTTTTCTCCCTTTGGAGATGCTGGTAGGTTCTAACAACTGACGTTTGGGTTAGCAACTAAGTGTTTAACCACTGTGCCACCAGGGCTCCTTTTTGATATTCCCTGTTACTTTCCAGCCAACAACTATCCTATTTATCTAGCATCCCTAAAATAAATACTTCCAATATAAAAACTTCCTTGCTCTTATATTTTTGCTATCTGAAAATGAGGACTTTACAGTGTTCTGAGAATATTGGAATATTGCACATTCCAAATAATGATAATCATTAATCACACCCCCTGCTAGAATGCAAGCTCCATGAAGGCAATACATTTGTGCATTTTATTCCCAGCTTTATCCTTTTTGTCTAGAAGTGTACTTAGCATATCAGACTCTCAGTGATGAGTGGATTAATCAAGATCATGATTCTCATGTTCTTTATACTCTCTTATCATCCAGCTGCCAAAGTGCTTTCAGATATATCACTTACCCGGTATTCCTCAACAGCACATCCTATGGAACAATGCCTGTGAGTCTTGTGCCCCTGAGATTTAGAACAGAGCAAACAGAGCAACTGCTTGTTTTCGTTGCAGAAGATGGTCTTTGTCTCCTTATGTGCCCCACACATCTGTTCATCAGAGTTCAGGCATTGTGAGAGACTGGCTTGTCTGGCAAGGGACACTAGATTCTTCACAACAATATTGGTTTTGAACTCTGTCTGCTCGGATATTTCTCTGCACACAGGGCAAGAGGCAGGAGTTTTTCCTTCTCCCCAGGAAAGGCAGAGACACGCCCTGCAGAAGCTGTGCCCACAACCTATGGTGACCGGGTCTGTAAAGTAGCTTAAGCAGATGACACAGGTGAGTTCCTTCTGTAACGTGGAATCCATTTTCCTGGGGGAGGAAAATCAGAAGTTTATTATTCTGCCCTGCAGAGACAAAGGTCTAAACAAAATTTTGCTCCAATAGTGACCCAAAAGTACGTGTCTGGCATTCACATTCCTAAAAATGGCCAGAGTTACTGAACCAATACAGACTAGAGGAACCCCTAAGGCTATTGCCCTAAGATATCTTCTGAACTTGGAACTACAGCCACTCCAGGAGGTCACCTTTCAGCCAAATAATAGATTGGCTTATAAAATAAACAACTTCACCTCTGAGTAATATAATCCCTGAAACAATCAACTCTATGAGACCAAATGTCCAACAGTTACCCAAAAGCAAAGATGAGAGAATGCAAGAAGAGGCAAGGAAGGTAGATCAATGGAAGTGGAACAAACATGATGGAAATAATGAGAATGCCAAAACATTGTAAAAATTGTAACCAGTGCATGAAACAATCTGGATAAAAACGGTGAAATGGAAACCTAATTTGCTGTGTAAATTTTCACCTAAAATATTTTTAAAGTAATATGGAGAAGAATATTATTAATGTAGAAAGATGCCTAACATTCATTGTTAATGAGGAATATGAAGATGTTATCAAATCAAATGGTACTACATGATCTCACTTTTCACTAAAAACAAGTATACTTGTGTATATATGTATATATATATATATATATACACACAGGGAGCTCTGGTAGCATAGTGCCTAAGGCACTTAACTGCTAACCAGAAGGCTGGCGGTTCAAACCCACCAGCCACTCCTCGGAAGGAAGGTTGGG